ATATTAACTCAAGTCTACCACTTTTCATTTTTATATATATATAAATGTTATGAGTTCGAGCACATTGTTTATAAGGTGAAACGAATTTAGTGAAATGATGTTATAATTTAGGGTAAATTATATGTTTAGTACCTAAACTATCAGTTATGGTTCATTTTAGTACCTAAATTTTTAATTTTTTTTTCAAAATCACACCTAACGTTTAGTTTTTGTTTTATTTTATTACCCATAATAAAGCCTTAACGTTAAGTTTTATTTTTTTTAAAAAGTTTAGGTACTAAAACATACCAAAATTGATAGTCTAAGTACTAAACATGTTAAATTTTTAACGGTGAGGTACTAAAATGAAAAAAAATTAAATATTAGGTATGATTTTGAAAAAAATAAAAGTTTAAGTACTAAAACGAATCAAAACTGGTAGTTTAGGTACTAAACACATAGTTTACCCTATAATTTATGAAGTAGTATAAAAGATTTTAAAATTTGAAGATTAATTTAAAATATAGTTATAATTTAAGATTGATATAATCATACAGAACTTTGTAAAATTTATGGACTAGATTAAAATAAAATCATAACTTAAGAATATCTTATACAATTATCTCTTTGATTTATATATATGTGCGTGTAAATAAAACCATAATCTTTGGAGTTAACTTATAATAATTTTGTTGATAAAATTGCTCACGAGATTTATTTATATATAGTGATAATTTTGGTTAAAAAGAGATAGAAGTAATTATCATCCGGTTTTAAGAGTAAATTTTTGGCATAATACCGAAAATAGTCCCCGATATTTATTAAAATAGTCATAATGACCCATATTCCTTTTTTAGAGCATTTTGAACCCCAATGTTTCACCTTATACAAAAAGCTCCCTCTATAGATGAAAACTATTAGTTAACACACGAATAACATTCCAAAACTAAGAGCTTTTTTTAACTTAAAATGAAATGTTGAGGGTTAAAATGCTCCAAAAAAAGAATAAGAGACAAAATGATTATTCGATCAAATGTTAAGGGATGTTTTACCTTAAAATGAAATGTGGGGGACCAAAATACTTTAAAAATAGAATATAGGATATAATGAACATTTTGATAAATAATAGGGGCTAATTTCAACATTATGCCAATTCTTTTTTTGTTATGTATCCTATATAAACTTTACAATCATGTTTCACTTCTTAAACTCGTTATTTAAAATATAATAATAAAATATATTTTAAATTAATTCGTTTAAAGTTTAATATCTTAGGTAAAGGATTTTGTTGTAAATCGAATCATTATAATAAATTAAAATATATTTCCAAATTGTTTCTCCTCTAATATATAGTATATTAATTTTTTTATTAAAATCAAGGTTTTTTATAAAAAAATATTTAATTAAAATGAAGATTTAAGATCTCCAAAATTAACTTGAAATACTCGTGGTTAAAATTAGTTGCCCACACATAATGAGCCTTTGTGATACCTTATATGAATTAATTGATGAAATAATTAAATATCAGTGATTATAAAATAAATAGTATACGATTTGTTGATTGCCGAATTGAATGTGGTAAAATTTTATTATATACGAGGGTAATTCTCCCGACTCAGTTTGCAGTGTAAGTACTTCTTTAATACATATCATCGACTTATCCATGTGTGTTTACCGACTAATTTGAATCGAACAATATAAAAACACATTACGAGAGCGACTCTCTCGACCAAATTTGATGCACATATTTCTGTATACAGATGGAATATGGAATATTATACAAAACTGCCAAAATGATGAGCATGGTAGAAAGCTTTGTCGAAGAACACTGATGCATTCAATGAAATACAGCAGCTTTACTTAAAATAAAAAAGCAACAAAAAGACAAAATTAATCCAAAACTTCAACGACTTTAGAGAAGACAGAGCAAATTCGACGATGAATCTAATGTGATTAACGTTAAAATCAATGTTTTGGTCTGTGGTAGCAATTTGTTTTGGAGGTGCTATATATATACACATATATATATATGTATTGGTTACTTTAATTATTATTTATTTATTTTAGTTAATGAGCTCTCTATATTCAACCTAATTCTTTTAGGTCGGGTTTAGGGGTTACACTTCCCAAGAAAGCAAAAGCTCTTGCTAGGTTTTTCAACTGGTTATTGCTCAGTATTAGGGGTGTTCAAATAATCGAACTAATTCTGTTAACCGACCGAATCGAATTAGTTCGGTTAATTCGGTTCGATTACCGAATTAGTTCGGTCGGTTAACGGTTAAGAAAATATTTAGAATTCGGTTAACGGTTAATTCGGTTCGAATTCGGTTAATTAACCGAATTAACCGAATTAACCGAAATTAAATATTAAATATTAAATATATTATATATAACATATGGGCTCAACCCAAATTATTTAAAACCCAATTAATAATTTAAGATCCAATAACTTTTAAACTTATATCAATATTAATTAATTAAAAAATTATATAAATTTTTTATTTTATAAATTATTTAAATTAATTGTAAACTGTTTTTTAATTAAAAAATATTAAATATATTATATATAAAATATGGGCTAAACCCAAACCATTTAAAACCCAATTAATAATTTAAGATCCAATAACTTTTAAACTTAAATCAATATTAATTAATTAAAAAATTTATCTAAATTTTTTATTTTATAATTATATATTATTTAAATTAATTATAAACTTTTTTTGAATTAAAAAATATTTAATTTTTATATAAATTAGAAAATTTTAAAAAAAAAATCGGTTAATTCGAAATTAACCGAATTAATCGAAATTTATTCGGTTCGATTAATATGTTCGAAAAAAAATTCGGTTCGGTTAACGGTTAAAGAAAAAAAAGTTTGGTTAATTCGGTTATGGTTAATTCGGTTCGGTCGGCCACCGTTTTAACCGAATGAACACCCCTACTCAGTATTACAGTCGGAGCTTCCGTAGGAGTGACGGGCATCGTACATTTGACTACCGAAAAGCATAAGTGGTATTGGGGTTTCTTCATATCGACGGTGGCTACGATCATCGGATTCTGTGTTCTTGCATCTGGAAAGCCTTTCTACCGCCTACGAGAACCGACGGCTGCTAATAGCCCCATCATAAGGATAGCTCAGGTTCAGTATTTATCTCAGCATTTCATTTCTCATGCATAGCTACATATATAAACAAGTGTGACAAACACTTCTTGTGTGTTATGATAGACCATTCATATAGGTCATAGCAGTAGCCTTCAAAAATAGACTGCTAGCTCTGCCGGATAAACCGGATGAATTGTACGAGGTCGATGAAGGCGAAACCAGTTGCAGGGAGGAAAGTATATTCCACACCAACCAATTCAGGTGAATCATGCATGTGAAACAATTGTATGATGTCTAAACATGCTAAAAAAATTCTGAAGCTAATTCCGATCTGTGATTCTTGGTCTGATTCCTAGATAAAGCAGCAATTGTTCCGAAAGAGTCGGAAGCGACACCATCACTGTCACCGTGGACGGTGTGCACGGTGACTCAAGTTGATGAAGTTAAGATACTAACCAGAATGTTGCCCATTTTAGGCAGTACCATCATAATGAACACGTCTGGCACAGCTGCAGACATTCTCGGTTCAGCAAGGTAACATCATGGATCGCCATCTCGGGAAACTCAACGTTCCTGCCGCATCAATCCCGATAATCCCACTGGTCTTCATGTCCATTCTGATTCCTGCCTATGAATTATTCTTTGTCCCTTTTGCTCTAAAAATCACACACCATCCATCAGGCATCACTCAACTCCAACGTGTCGGAGTGGGGCTTGTCCTGTCAGCAATTTCAATGGCCGTTGCCGGCATTGTTGAGGTTAAAAGAAGGGATCAAGTTCATAAGGACATGTTCAAGCCCATAAGTCTCTTCTGGCTCTCCTTTCAATATGGAAATTTTGGAATTGCAGGCATGTTCACTCTTGTAGGACTGCTGGAATTTTTCTACAAGGAAGCACTGATCAGCATGAGATCACTCTCGACATCGTTTACCTGGTTATCTCTATCTTTCGGCGACTTCTTGAGTACCTTGTTCGTAAACATCATAAACTCCATCACCGAAAGAGTCAGTTCAAGCGGACAAGGTTGGATTCATGGATTAGACTTAAACCAGAGCAACTTGAATCCCTTTTACTGGTTTTTAACTACCCTTAGCTGCTTAAACTTTATAAATTATCTGTACTGGGCCTCATGGTACAAATACAAGACGGGCAAACCTGATCCTGCTGAAGCCGAAGCTAAGGATTTGTGTACCGGATCACTCGTCGCAGAGGAAGAAAACACCACCCTGGATGGAGGAGTAACACAAGCACATGAAGCTCCTTCTTCCGTTCAAACAGAGGAATCTAAGCAACAACTAATAAAAGAACCCGATCATCCTGAAGCCTAAGCTAAGGATTTGAGTACCGGACCGCTTGTCAAGGAGGAAGAAAACACCTTGGATGGAGGAGTAACACAAACAAAGGAAGCTCCGTCTTCTGTTCAAACAGAGGAATCTAAGCAATAGCTTACAAGTTGTTGACGAGGGACATAAACACACACTCACACATATGTTTCTGTGTGCATGTGACAGAAAATAATGATCATTTCCTCAATTCGAAGAATCGATAAACCAGAGCCTTGAGTACCGGACCGCTTGTCAAGGAGGAAGAAAACACCTTGGATGGAGGAGTAACACAAACAAAGGAAGCTCCGTCTTCTGTTCAAACAGAGGAATCTAAGCAATAGCTTACAAGTTGTTGACGAGGGACATAAACACACACTCACACATATGTTTCTGTGTGCATGTGACAGAAAATAATGATCATTTCCTCAATTCGAAGAATCGATAAACCAGAGCCAGAGGTTGGCCTAAACAAACACTCGGGTACATACTATTGAGGTATTTATCTCTTAGACAGACCAGCATTATTAGCATCGATGATGGATCTTAATAAATGACTTACAAATTCAAGTAAAGAATTCGAAATCTCCTCGACGTGCCGAAATATGTGCAAATTCTAACTGTAATTCCCCGAAATTAGTATTCAGTTGACCATCATCATCATAGAGGTCAAATACAGTCCCCCTCACACACACACACACAAAAAAAAAAAGCTTCAGTCTCCATCTGAAGCAAAATAGTTTCCTATCCTCGGGTCAAAAAGCTAACAAATATAACCTACACTTTGATAAAACACGATGCGTATATACAATCAAAAGTACTATGACCTATCAGGTAACTTCTCATCTCCTTCTGTTGATCTAAAAGGAACACTACCGGTGATTTCTGAGGCTTGACTATTCTTGTGCACTTCAGCTGGCTGTTCAAAACTTTCATTTGTTGTTTGGCACTGGCATCGCAAACAATATCAAATTTGATTAAATTCAGGCAGACAAGAAGCAAAGCCATAAAAAAAATTGCAAAATGTTCAGATGAGTGACAAGTTAATAGAATCGGCCTCCCTTTTTCTGCCATACATATATAGCAAAGGTAAACAATAAGTGTGTGTTTTTGCATGCTTGTATGTATATATTCCAACTCATGCTTTATAAGAACTAAGAAGCATAGAGCTTTTCATTGATGAAAAGGAAAATGATTTCTTTAATCTAACCTAACAAGAAAAATCAGTCAGGTTTACCATAAATTTGTCTACTGGGAAACCATTATAAGATTAACTAGTCATTGAGGGCAACTAAACCCTGACTAAGCAAATACTAGAAACTCTCTTTTTTTCAATGACTTGAATAGGAACAAGAAAATTTTCCCAACCTGAGTAGATGTCTGATTCACGCAGCTATTGATGTTAGTGTTCTCTGTCACTTGATTCACGGAGCTATTGATGTTAGTGTTCTCTGTCACTTGTGAGTTGATATTCTGAATTGGAATAGGAATCAAAGGTACACCTGGCATCGACATCGGAAGTCCATGACCATGAAACCCATACGGCTGTAGGTTAGATCCTGTCATCTCTTGGAGTGTAGTGGTGCCGGATGGATGTGGGCCAGGGCAGGGGCCAGAAAGAGGTGCTCCAGGGGTTGGAGGCACCTGAACCATAGGGCAAGCAGAAACTATAGTATTCGTTTGAGGAAATGGCATCCCGAAACCCATACCTATACCCATTCCAACACTCATGGATGATAAATGTGCCATATGAGCTGCATGCATATGTTGCATTCCAGTTGGAAACATCGTCGGTGGCATATATAACCCAGCTCGCATAGACATAATCTGCGTAAGGTCGGTAGTTGATAAAATAAACTTATTTCGATTACCCTTCAAAGAATCAACTTTCAAATATACACCAAAAGGAAGAGTAACAGTTATGATTTGGGAGAAAGAAGATGAATATCTTACCTGCACCTGTAGTTGGAGTGTTTTAAGATATTCAATTGCTTCATCAAGCATCGAAGCTTTGTCCACCTTGTAATGCCAAAATGTAAAAAGTCAACAGCTTTAAAATACAAAAGCTATCAAGTCTTTGTTGGTCTGTTTTTGGTTCAATAAAAAATTCATAAAGTATTTAACCATGTTTGATGAATTTAACTATGATTGCAGTAGAAGATAAGAAGCATGAATAAGCTATATGTTTTAAACTACTAATAAAATTAGCAAGGATAAGCCTAAGCTCAATGATCTATTTCCAGAGTCGCATCTGTTTCCAAGAAAACTCTTGATTTAAAAGTAATATGAATTACCAACCTTGTTGCAGTTTGGTATGAGCTCCTGTAAGGCACGCATTTTCTCGTTTATCCTATCCCTTCGCCTCTGTGAAAGTCAAGGTCTTACAATTCAGACACAGCCATATGAAGGATAGCCTTTTAGAATTATCGAACTAATCGAATACACTTCCTCACCCTTTCAGATAAATTATGCACTTCTGCTGCTCGACTTCTCTTAGACCCCTTACCACCTTGAGCGGGAATTGCTTTTTTCACACCCTCAGATTCTTCTTCAGCATCCTACACATGTAAGTTGGTTACTTTGATTTATCAGAAAAGGAAAAAAAATGAGTTCAAAGCACCACAACACTAAATAAAATTATATTCTACAACTTACTTCACTAGGGCATTCAAACTCATCATCATCACGATTTTTTCTCTTCAAATTGTGTAATAATGTATCATCAGATGATCTTTCAACACTATTTCCACAGCAAACAGAGGAAGCAGCATGCACAGACTCTACAGCCTTGTCACTATGTGGCAGGCGTTTAGAAGCATTTTCACCAGTAACTTGATTAGAGATTTTATCACCTGGTGAATCTAGAGATTTAGCTTTAGATTCTTTTATATCGGTCTTCATTGGCAACATTGTAGAATGGCAATGAGAAAGTTCTTCCTTCTGTAGCTCAATATTCGAATCAATGTGCCTGGAATCAACACAGTTGCTAACACCGTCACCAATCCCCTTTTCCTTACTTCCATTCTTCTCAGTCCTAGCCATAGCACCTATGTTCTTAAGATTAGTTTTAACAATAGCAGCGGGACGTGCGAAATGGGAAAAATTCATCAACAGTGTATTACTACAAGGTGCACCAGGATCTTGTTTCTGCAACTTTATGCCAGCCAAAGCATCGTCTGATGGTTGAACTCCCATTGAATCTCTGCAAATGGCATGGTTGGTTAAGGTATGGCTCAGGTTATTACCAATACTCTCCGAATTTCTTGATCTAAAATACGGAGAAGACACTTGACGTGGCTGTGATGGCCTAGCTTTGTCATCTGCAGGTTTAGGAACCTTCAACAGCTTTCCTCGTTCAAAATCCACAGCATCATTTGTAGAAACAGTAAACAAATCTCTAACGGATTGGCGTCTTCTATCAAATGATGCTACGTTACTATTAGTCGGGATCTCATTCGAAGCGAGCCCGGATAGTTCAGGCAATAAACCAGAACATTCATCATGTAAAGATTGAACCTCAGGGTACTTCAGCCAAGGCACCACTTCATCATCAGCACCATGAGTCGGCACCACCGACATCGGAACATCACTCAATATAGAAGAGTCCAACACCCCAAACTTTCCCATTCTTGTAAAATCCCCTCCATTTCCTATATCTTTATCACTACAAGAAATCATCTTCCTAGCCCTACTAGACTGACCTTGCATTGAAACTTGATCATTTTCCCATACCAATTCAACAATGTCATTCTCAGGTCTGCAATCAAACAACAGCACACATATATGATCGAACATGTAATCAAATGAAATTCAATGTTTAAAATACATAAGAGGAACTTACACAGAAGACAAATCAGTGGAGCTTGAAGGGTTCTTCTTGTCTTGAGATGAATCAAGTTTCCCCCTAGCCATCCGATATAGCTCATACAAAGGCATGATGAAAAGCTGGGAAAAAAACCCTATTTTCTTACTTAGAAGAAACCCAGATTCAAGCAGTTAGGCTTAGCCATTGCCACTGCTTCTCATCACTTGTTTCAACTCAAATTTGGTTCAAAACACCCAAAAGGAAACATACATGAATGAAGCTAATCAAGGACTCAAGAAAATTAGCCCGACCCATAAACCCACTACAAAAATAAATTTGAAAAAGAGAGAGAGAGAATCAAATCTTTGAGAAAAGCACAATCCTTAAAAGCTCGAACCAAGGGAAACCCAGAAGCCGTCAAAAGATGTTTTACAGCATAATTTGGTGCATCAAATCATGGTTGCCGCTGTTAGTACCGAGTTTACGGGTAGGTAGTATTTACCGTTTCGGTTAGAATCACCGTTTTAGAAATTAAAATTCTCTATGTTTTGATTTTATTTTGAAAATATTTAAAATATAATTAAAATATAATTTTAAAATAAATTATATATTTAATATTTAAATTATCAATTTTAATTTATTTTAGTATTTAAACTTTTAATTTTTTTAAAAGTTTCTACAGAGTTGTCTGCCTATTAATAGATCAATAAAATTTTAAATATGAAATATTTTATATCCCTCTAAATTGTTTAAAAACATCTAATTTCAGTATTAATTATATATTTAAACCTAAACTTAATTTAGGTTTACAAAGAAAAAAATATCCCAATTTTTTTATCAGAAATGATCCCAAAATTAAAATTGATATCTAATATCAATTAAAATATTATTTTATCGAAATTGTTTATCAAATTTGGAGTAATAATAATATGGGTAAATTACAAATTTCCTCACTAAACTTTACAAGTTTTCAATTTCCTCACTAAACTTAATACAATGATTTTTTTATCACTGAACTTTACTTCATCTCCTATTTTGGTTACTTTGTTGTCAAATAATTAATGGCGTTTAAAATGATGTTGTTTTAAAAAAAAATACCAAAACGACATTGTTTTGCATCTATATAACAATTCATTTTAACGTCGTTATCTATTTACCGACTGAGTGACCAAAACAACACAATGTATTAAGTTCAGTGAAAAGCTTGAAAAGATTTAAAGTGCAATAAGTCAAATAGAAAAGAGAATAAAGTTCAATTACCAAATATGTAATTTGCCCTAATAATATATAGATGAAGAAAGGTATGTGTATTTTATTAATTTATATAGTACAATGTATATAAATTTAGGGTAAACTACTCAAATGATCATTTAATTATGGAGTTATTGTCTATATAACCATCGTACTTTCAATTTTGTTAATATGACCATATAACTATTTAAATGATTTCAATCAAACAACTTGTCATTAACATTTAACGGAAGTACTAACGTGACATTTAATAAAATTGACATTTTAATTGTATCTATGATATTAATGTTATCCGTGATATAACAATATGATGATCGTATCGACATCAATCTCATAATTAAATGATCATTTTAGTAATTTACCTATAAATTTATTAATATTGTCCTATCTTTTCGTTGGTATCCATGATATTATTATATATTATCCAATGAAATTGGGTGGCTGTGTGTGGCCCTTGCTCGTTTCCCTAGTGCATTATAACATTAAATATGTTTAAATCTACTGTAGACCATTACAATATGTTGGGGGCATGATTGTTTATTTTCTTTCTTCTGCCTTCATAATTATTATTATAATAATTTATATTTTAGAATATTTTATCAATATGATATATGATAGATTAATTCAATTAGAATATTATAAAAATGCATTAGGTCAAAAATTCTTCCAATTATTCTATTCCATTTTTTTATCATTAAATTATTTTTTCCAAAATTATACTTAATGTTATGTTTTGATTTTATTTTGGTCATCCACCGTTAAAAAATTAACATAACTACTAATATGGCATTTTTAAAAAAAATTCAATGATGACGTGAAATTATCTTATGGTGACACATTAATATCATCGTTGGTTTTTTAATGACGAATGACCAAAATAAAACCAAAACTAAATATGTCAGGTGTGATTTTGAAAAAAAAAATAGTTGAATGACTAAAACATAACAAAAGTGATCAATACGATATTAAATGCTACCTTGTTTGAAAAAGACGTATCTTATTATATTATCTGATGATAAAATTACTTAGATAATGTGTTGAAAAAATGATTATTTTTAAAGGGGTGATGCAAATTTTATTTGTTGAAATAGGTGAATGCTATCGTGTTTGGAAAAGACGTCTGAACTATCTGACGTCTTCGGCGAAAGACTCAAAGAAGATGCAAATTAAATAAACGATTGATTATTGAACTTACATCTATTGGTAAAGCATTAAACATTTTGTTGTACTATAAAAGTTTTAGGTATTTTGGTAAACTGTTTTAAATTTTATTAGACGATTATATATTTTAGTAAAAGTGATAGAAATTATGGAGTCGTTTACATATTTTGACAAAGTTTTGATTTTGGTGTGTTACTTTAATAAAAGAAATTAAAAATTATGAATTATTATATACACGTTTTTATTTATTTAATACACTATTTTATAAATAAAAAAATCATTTATATTACATTAATAAATGTTTTCCCTAATATTTTAATCACAAATCTATTAATTTACAGCCATTTCTTTTAGAGAAAATCGCCTCAGTGACCAAAAAAAAGTTATAATATACGATTTTAACCAACTTTTTTTGGATTTGCCAAAATGACCAACAAAATCGCAACGCGAAATAAAAATCGCAACGCGATCCCCAGAATCGCAAATCAGTTTCCAGAATCGCAAATCAGTTTCCAAAATCGCAACGCGATTCTTGAAAATCGCGATGCGATAGTACAAATTCGCATTGCGATTTTCCAAAATCGCAACGCGAATATGAAAATCGCAACGCGAACACATAAATCGCAACGCGTATCCGTAAATCGCAACGTGTATCCGTAAATCGCAACGCGTATGGGTAAATCGCAATGCGTATCCGTATATCGCAACGCGTATCCGTAAATCGCAACGATAATACATAAAATCGCAACGCGTATCCGTAAATCGCAACGCGATATTTAAAGCGCCATTATAATCGCTACGCGTATTTTATTTTCAAATTACAAAAAGAATATTAAGACAAAATCCCGTAATCGCAACTCATAACCTAAAACCTAAAATCACAACTCAGTCCCATCTCCATCTCTCACTCTCTACGGCGAAGAAATCCGTCCCCATCTCCGAAGATTTCCGTCCCCATCTCCGGCGAAATCCCTCACAACCATTCACGGTCAGAAATCCCTCACAATATTCAGAAATGGAAAATCAACCTCCGAGGGTTAGTTTTTTAATTATTTTTATTTTGAAATGTTTGCATTATTGTAGGTTTTTCATATTGAAACTGATGATAAGTTTACTGGTCATTTCAATAATAGATTAACCATTTCACTTAGATTTCATTTCGCGTTACGATTCTGTCGTTGCGATTTTCATTTCGCGTTGCTATTCTCTCGTTGCGATTTTCAAGTTAGTATTTGTCTTTGTCTTTGTTCTGTCTTTTGGTTGAAGTAATGCAATCCATTCAAGTTTCAATTTGCAGAAGAGTCGCAACGAGATAAATGAAATCGCAACGAGAGAATGACTGTCGCAACGAGAGAATCGCAACGCGAAATGGAAATCGCAACGAGAGAATCGCAACGCGAAACCAAAATCGCATTGCGATTTTCATTTCGCGTTGCGATTCTCTCGTTGCGATTTTCATTTCGCGTTGCGATTCTCTCGTTGCGATTGTCATCTCGCGTTGCGATTCTCTCGTTGCGATTTTCATTTCAACCAAAAGACAAAACAATGTTGCAAATTTTAGTTTAAAGAATAAACTACTACTTTTTATGTTTATTGTTTTTGGTATATCTTCACAGTGTAGTTTTTGGTATATCTAACTTGGTATGTTTATTGTTTTTGTAGAAATTTTTTTCGGCTCAATTGACCTTGAGAAATAAAGTCAGCCTGGCCACTACAATTGCAAAGAAGCTTTCACCTGCTCAAAGACAATTGTTTGAGGAAACCTGCTTCGGGCCATGGCTGAGAGTACAGCATCCGGGTGGAGATGCTAATTTGACCCATTTGTGGCTTCAGACCATGACATCAAATCTACCCGACAGTATACAACGTGGTGAGGAAGAGATATGGTTTCATTTTCCACCAGCGTATACTTGCTTTGGGCGGAAGGAGTTCTGCTTAATCACTGGTCTACGATTCGGACACGATGATGTAGGCCGGTACACTCGTCATATCGCCCGCCCATCATGGTTATCCCGGGTTTTTCCGGATGAGTCAATGGAGAAGCCGAACCTACATGTCGACGACCTGAAGAAATTATTTAATAAGAAAGCTGGTTTCACTCGGATGGAAGACGTCGATGTTGTCCGAGTATGCCTTCTACTACTTGTGTATGCCGGCTTTTTAGGCAGAGAGGCCAGACAACCTATTCATCGGGAGCTAATAATATTGGTAGAGGACCTGAATGCATGGAATCTGTTTCCGTGGGGTTCGTATATATGGAAAGCTACCTGGACTAAGTTGTCGTCTGCCTTTGATGACCGCAAAAGTTTGCGGGGCGATGGGTCCAAATACACTTTGTCAGGCTTTGTTTGGGCCTTTAAGGTAAGAATTTCTATATAATGTTTCTAAAATTATAATTAATTATTTAACAATTACTAATTTTGTTATTATATTGTTTGTAGATTTGGATATTCGAGGCTTTCCCCAGCATGCGTACATATGCAATAAAAACGTCAAATGATATTCCCAGGGCTATTTCCTGGAAGAGGAAAACTCTGTTGGATTGGGAAGACTTAATACCATATGCCACAATAAATAATGTAAGTTAACACAAATACTTTCATATAATATATAAACAAGTTATTAATAGTAGACGTTTAACTTTGTTTGAGTTTTTATATTTTAGGAGGCCAACATTCCATTACAAAGACTGTCACCCACGGAGGAAGAGCTTGCCACTGATTGGTGGCAAGCTAGTCAGAGTTTTTTTGATGGCACGGATGATGAGCAGCATCCACTTCCTCCAATTCGAGAGCCATCACCTCACCTAGAGCCATCACCCGATCGTGACGACTATACACCTCTAGAACGAGAGCCATCACCTATCCCGTCACATCATCGAGCCTCTTCTCCACCATCACCTCATGATAGGCGACCGGCAAAGATGCCACGACTCCTATCTCCCTGTTCTCCACCTCCACCTCAACGGGATGAGTCAAGGGAGTTACGT